ATTTGAGAGCATTTGATTAAATAAATGTTCACAATTTTATTACCACACGATAAATCAAACCATGTTCTTTGCTTGAGTGCTTTCAATATGATATAATATTTTGCTTCAAATGATTTCAATTTTTCCTCCATTTTGTGTACAAATTATACATTTATATTGTCGCCCACTATGATGAATTAAAATCAAGTGCATCTTTCGTCACTTGATTTATTCACGGCTCAAATCCTCTCAAATTCATGAAACTTGAGAGAGTAAGTTTTATTTGATCCAGGGATATTTACATATACATGCATGACGAAATAGAAATATTAAGTTTTTATTAGAATTATATTATGAGATTAATCTAAAAGAAAAAAATATAACTTTTGATTTTCTCCATTAACAATTTAATTTCTAAACATTGTCTCAAAACAATTTAGTTTTTATACTTTTTTTAATTTAAAATGACTCATGTTTTATAATTTTTTGACTGAATACAATTTAATTCTTATAATTTCTCAACTCATTAAATCACAATTGAGTTATCCTGAATCAAAACTCAGGATTAAATCAATAATTGAAAATAAATTTAAAAACTAAAAGTCATATTATTTCATAATCTAATAAAAAAAATTTCCATAGAGTTTAATAGTAATGCATGCATGCCACAATTGATGCAATAAAAATTGTTGCCACCCTTTTTGGTGAGTCATCATTCAACTATTGACCACAAGGTGGGGCTAGGATCAGTCAAGGGCTCCTGGGTTTGGGCTGTCAAGTCAGAGTTTGGCCCACAATCCCATAAGATTGGCCCATCTGTTTAATTTGTCTCTTCATTATTTAACATGAAAAAGTAAATCTGACCAAAAGGCAAAAGGTACGGATAGTTGGATAGTCTATATGTTGAAAAGATTAAATTAAATGAAAGTTTGTATGAACCAGTACGGTTGTTTGGACTCGTATAAGTCTGAAGTTGTGATGTAATTTTGTGAAACGTCCAGGCTTTGACCTGTGTCTTGTGTAATCAAAAAAATAAAAAATAAAAAAATAAATGAAAGCTAAAGCTAAATGTTCAAAGTTTTGCCTCCTGAAAATTGCTTTTTGGATGCCTCCTTCACAGTGTTGTTATTATTTTTTTCATGGATGCGGGTTACATGTATAAACGTGAGATTTTATTTTTATTTTTTAATTTTATAAAGTACCTTTTTAATTATTCAATCCTAATATAGTTAGTTTCATTAAAAAAAATTAATGACATTGGATTTTTAAATAACGTAGAAAAAATATTTTTAAATTTTATTTTTTTAAAAAAATTGATTGACACAAAAAATTGTTATTTTAGACTAACAGTGGTAAGATTAGAAAACTAATTTTTTTTTAATAAAATTAAGATTCTAAACTAAAACTTTGTATACTTTTACCAATTCTTCTAATACTTTTTATCTCACAATTCTCATTTTACTCTTTAATTTCTTTTTTCTTAATATCATGACGCATTGCATTGAATTTTGGCAAAGATTTTCTTTAGAATATATATATATATATAAAATATTTTATCAAATATATATGTTGTTCAAAATTTAAATGGACTAATACACCTAGGGTTTGCTCGATAACAATAAAAGTTAATGCTTATACGATGCTCTTGGAGTTGATTAATAATTATGAAATACAGTTCCGGATGTTTATACTGCAGAACTTCCTACGTTTTATATATAGGCGATCTCTGTTGAAAAACATAAAGAAACTAGGTCTGGAAAAAACCAATGTATGACTGGATGTGGTATATGTGCACCAACACTATTTTGAAAGGTAATCCTATAACTTCAGTTTACAAAATTTCTAGAATATATATCATACATAATTTTCATAAGTTCGTTATTAAGTTTCTGAGAACCAAAATTTAGTATATAGTGAGTGAATAATTTGGTGGTTTATATGGTAATGACATGATTGGTTTTTTTTTTTTAAGGATGCTTATCAACTTATTATATTTTTATTGAAAAAATTGACCACAGACATACTCCTATAAATTAGTTAACTTTCTTCAAATTAATATTATTTTTTCATGTTTATCCTTATTTAATAGGGTGTTTTACTTAAAATAAATATAAAGTGATTAATTTATTAAGGGTATTTTTTTGAAAAAATACATTAATAATACCTTGAAATACTAAATATACATTATATTTTGAACATTTAATCTCTCAAAAAATGACTTGCATTTTTGAAATGATAGAGTATATTCAATATCACATATTTTTATATTAGACTATACTCTCTTCGTTAAAAAATGTAAGCCATTTTTAAAACAAATCTCACCTTTTAGTAAAGTAGTTAGCTACTTTCAAACTAACACTATTTTTTATATTTACCTTTATTAAACACTTTACAACTATAAAGTCATTCATCAATAGGGGCACTTTTGAAAAAAAAGATAATGATTATACCTTAAAAAATTAAAAATATCTTACATTTTTAAATAGAGTGAGTTTATATTAACGACACACTATCGCTAAAGTAATAATTTGAGCCATCTATCTTTCATACATGAGTGCATGCCATTGGCTGATTTGCTTCGAAAAAGATTTATCCACTACTTATTGAACCTGTAAAATTTGCATTATTGTTTCAATCAAATTAAATGGATTTAAATATAACTTTGAAAAAAAAAAAGAAAAAATCAAATGGACCGGATTGATGTAGATGCACTTGGTGGAGATAAAGTGAAACTTATGTAACACTGTCACTTTCATCTTTTGAAAGTAGCATTAATTATGTTAAGAGAAAGATACGAGTAATATTTATGAGTTTGAATGAGGGGCATAGTACCGGTGCACATAGAAGTCGTGAACAATTACGTAACAGAACAACCATAAACCTAAAGAACCTGCAGGGAAATTGAAAGATATAATGAAACTTCAACTCTCTGATGATATGTCTCTTTAGATGTGATTATTTTCACTATGCAGGTAACTTCTCTTTTTCACCATCACTATCACTATCGCCAACCCTTTTGGTAAGAGAAAGTGGTAGAGAGAGAGAGACAACACACGCAAGCACACACAACAACACAGGCCTCACAATCTACAGTTCTCCATGTATACATACTGTGTACGTTTTATGGTATGATTCAGTCTATCAGTTTGTGGCTTTGTGTTCTTGTTGTGTCTGTCTGAATTAGAGAAAGAGACCTGTGCCTATGTAACACCCACTCTCACTCTCACTTTTGGGTTTGTGTGTTTGAGAGAGACAGAGACAGAAAGAGAGAGTTCATTAGAGAGAGAAAAGGAGTAAATGAAAGCAGAAAGTGCAGATGAGAGTATTGTGCTGGGAAGCCGAGCATTTGCTTGTGGCCTGCTACGTTCAAATCAAAACAAAAGGCACCAATACACGCACTCTAATAATAATGCCATGTTTTGCTCAATAATAATAATAATAATAATAATAATGATAATAATAATAATGTCATGTTGAGATTTCAGGTTCCAGTTTGTATAAAAGTCGAAAATATCTTTCACAGAGTTGGCTCCAATTAAATATAACAATACTCGAATTTAATTTAATTATAGAACCGCATTCAAAAAAAATTCTGCCCTAGAAATCATCATATAGCCGTATTTATACTATGTCACATTGATCACTATAAGTCACGAAAAGTGTAACTTGCATTTTTTTAAATTAAGCTGGAGATTTGAATGTATAGTAAATATATAACATGTAGCTTTTGAATATTAATGTCATTGCTTAGTTATTTAGACTGATATAAAAAATTAAAAAGAAGAGGGAAAAATTAGAGTCAAAATTCTAGTAAAATCCAAAATGTAAAAAATATTTTTTGAACTTTGAAATGCAATTAAAATATTAAAACATGGTTAACATCAACAATAAATGGATGTTTCTTTATTTTTATCAATACTTTTCAAATGCAAGCATTTTTATTTGGCATAATTAAAATATTTAAACAAATAAAATATAAAATTTATAGCAATTCACTCATCAAATTCTCTACAACATATAGGGACTTCAATGTTATCATCAATGATATATAACATATATAAAAATTAAGTTGAGAGACTCACCATCAATTAAGCTTATTCGATAATGTTTGAATATAATCATACAGTAGTGTATAAGAAAATATAGAACATATAAAAAGTTGTAGTATTTATAAAAGCATGAATAGTGTGCTTTATTTATATATGTTGAAAAGCATCCAAATGTGTGAGCAATAGACATGTTATATGATGAGGGAGAAACAAAGTAATGAGAGAAGAAAAAGGATGCAGAGAATATAGAAAGAGATGAGTGTGGGACTGTGGGTATTTGCCTATTTGGTGCGCTCTTCAATGCTTTCTTTTTTCCTTCTTTGCCGCTCCTTTGTCTCCTCCTCCCTCACTTCCTTCCAAATTCTTCCATTTCCTCCCCTCTCCCATGTCCTCCCTCATTATTTCTCTTCTCCAGTTTGAATTTGATACTGATATATTGTGTGTAGCAATCTCCCTCATTAGTTTACTTAGGTATGAATTTTTTTTCGGAAAAAAACACAGACGGTCTTTTCATGTATGTCTTGGTGTTGACCTAATTAATTGGTCCTTATAGTAGTTTAAATTAGGGTCAATGTTCTAAATCACGGTTGAATCTGGATCGCCTCAATCATGATGATTTTTTAATTAACTTATAAAACAATATCATTTTAGACTCAGTAAAGTGAAAGAAAAATATATAAAATCCAACTCTTTGATCTATCCAAAATTCTGGAACGATTCACTAGTCTAACCAGCTAACTTTGGTTAAGTTAGTTAATTGGCTTTATGTACTACTACGTGTACTAAGTGCAGTACTAACACAAGTAAAACCTACATTACAAGAAGGTGTAAGCATTTTTTGCTAATATTGAAATGAAATTCCTAAAGCTACATCCATATCCGCGAGAGAGGCTCGTTTATTTATAGGCTATATCATCCCCATTTCCCTTCTCACACTTCTCTACTTCTACTCTCTGTCTCTGTCTCTGTCTCTCTCTCTATATCCTCTGTTGTGTCTCTGTGGAATAATTACTCCCCCTCATCGTCATCGATCACCATGCAGACTCATGATCAGTACTCTAATTTCTCCTACATCGCGTCATGTCTGGAAGCAGACCAAGTACTTGACGACGAACACTCCATTTCCCTCTCCCTCGGACCTCCTGGCCAACACACCGTTTCTAATTCTTCCAAGGTCATGAACCCCTCTATTACATCTTCTTCCAACGACGTCGTTTCTCTGCATCATCATCATCATCCCCAAAACCCTATCTCTGATCATCTCGGCGTTACGGTGGCTCTTCACATCGGCCTTCCTACCACCACTAACGCTGGTGCCACTTCTGGCAAACCCGACCCGCTCATTGCTACTTCGCCTTCGGGTTATGTTCCGGGTCAGTATTGGATTCCTTCACCTGCACAGATCCTTATCGGGCCCACCCAATTCTCTTGCTCTGTCTGCAACAAAACCTTCAACCGTTTCAACAACATGCAGGTAATCATTGCTCCATTCAACTTTAAAATAATAATAATAATAATAAAGAAATAAAGAGTAATATATACATTTGAATTTAGATGCTGGCCGGGTCTCTAGTCTATACCGGTCGACTCAGCTGGTTAAGCGACCGGGATTGTGATTTTATATTTGGGGTTTGAATTCTCCAAACTAGTGATCTCGACATTTTCTTAAAAAAGATCTTTTTATCATATCCTTTATAAAGATAATCCTTGTTTGAAGCAGTCTATTCGATTGTGGCTTTCCCCGCCAATTTGGGAATTCAGACATGCTGATTTGACCCACGATTTTTGAGTAATTTAATGTTGTTACCCTTTTCAGCAAAAAATATCAGACACTCTTGTTTCATAACCACAAATTAATTATATAGAGGTTTACGTTTTAGCCATATCATCATTATCATCATTCTGACTTGTAGTCTTTGAGATAGCTGCATAACATTTGTTTTGCTATCATCGACTTCAATTTATTTGAGTGCCAACATGGACGATCTTAACTTTATTGTTATTAACATGTATAATAATGCAGATGCATATGTGGGGACATGGATCGCAGTATAGGAAAGGGCCAGAATCTCTGAGAGGGGCAAAACCAGCGTCTTCGATTCTGAGACTTCCATGTTATTGTTGCGCCGAAGGTTGTCGGAACAACATCCACCATCCGAGGTCGAGGCCATTGAAAGACTTCAGAACTCTTCAGACACACTACAAGCGGAAGCACGGGGCGAAGCCGTTCGGATGCCGGAAGTGCGGGAAGCCGTTCGCCGTCCGGGGCGATTGGAGGACCCACGAGAAGAACTGCGGCAAGCTCTGGTTCTGTATCTGTGGTTCTGACTTCAAGCACAAGAGATCCCTCAAAGACCACGTCCGAGCCTTCGGCGATGGCCACGCTCCTCACACCGTCGACAGCCGCGATCCCCACCACCACCACCACGAACACGAAGAAGAAGAAGCTGACGTCGACGAAGACGAAGACGTCAACGACGAAGAAGACGATGATGATAATAACAGTGAAGTGTTCGTCTACAGCGGAAATCATGCCTCCATTTACTTGTGACATACACTCTCAATAGTCTCGAGACAGTTTAATTACATGATATTAAAACTTTAATATAATGCAGTACTGCTAGTTTAGTTTCTCTGTAATTGAAACCCTAAGGATTCAGAAAATCAGAGCGACGGATCTGATCTATAATATATATATATTTATATTTGTTTGCTGTTGAGTGTACATAGTTAACGGGTAGTATAGTAGGAGTTGGTTAAAGCCTTTTTCGTAGTGAATAAGATTTGGGATGATCAATTAGAGAGCGTACGTTTGTCTTTGTGTGATAGAGAGAGAGGTAGAGAGAGAGAAGATGGAGACAAACAATGAAATGAAAGGTGAGGATCTTTTGCATTAAATGCAGGTAGCAGTTCGATATATTATTATCAAAGAGAGAGGGAGGAGAGAGAGAGAGATGGAATAGTGAAGGTGGTCAAGAGTACTCAGTGACTGCAGATAAGAGAAGGGGGCAGACATGCATGCAGACAAGAGCAGTCGCAGATTCCACTGTAGATGGAGAGAGAGAGAGAGAGAGAGAGAGGGTTTATTAGGGTTAGGGTTATATGATGATAAGTGAGGAGGGGGAGAGAGAGACGGAGAGAGAAGAGTGAGAGTAATAAAAGAGTTTGATCAGAAAGAGTGGGAGTGAGACGGAGAGGTAGCGATGGACCACTGATACTATGCTGTTTTGGGGTTTCACCCAAAGGGCTGCCTTTTCCTTTTCAGACTATTCACATTCACATTCACTTGCTCTCTCTCTCTCTCTCTCTCTCTCTATCATCTTCTCATTTATTATTAACTACTACTATTATTCCAATAACTGTATATCACTCCCCTTATTACTTAAAGAAAATTGCTAGTAAATCTATCATTGAGGATTGAAATTGTGCAGGAAGACTAAAAGATTAGGATACAAACAAATAGGCTTAAATTGCAAGATGATAATCATGAAATTTCAAACCTGTTTGCTTGTATCCTGATTTTTTGGTCCTCCAGCTAGCACATTTTTGACCCCAGTAAGGGACTTGCTAATAATTTTCCCCATTACTTATGCCTTCTTAATTACTTTTAGCTAGGTATTTGGAAAATTTGTCTCTCTAAACCCTTGGATTTCAAAGAATAAAGGATTCGGAGAAGATGGATGGATGGATTGAATTAATTTTTTGCCCTATAATTTGGATTTTTTTTCCTTTTTCACAGATAGTATGCTATTCATATGATCTGAAAAGGGGACATATAACTTTTGGACCTGATTTTTTTTCCAAATATCAATTCAAAATTTTAAACTTGATACACAACAACTCAATTCCTCTAATTTCTTAACTCAAAACAACTCGATACTTATATTTTTTTACTCATATTTATAACTCAGTCCCTATAATTTTATTATTCAATAAAGACTAAGTATTGAGTTATATTAAGTTAAAATTTGGAGATTAAATTGATAATTGAGAGAAATTTAATGTATAAGAGTTATATTATCCATTTTAAAAAATTACAAGAAAAAGTTGCATTTCAATATATATATATATATATATCAAATTTTAATTTATAAAATATTTAAAATTATACTTATTTTATTTAAAAATGTAAGAAATTTTTTAAAGTGTTGGATGTTAAAAAATGTAAAGCATTTTTAATCTTTCGAGATGTAATCATTGTCTTTTTTTTTTTTGAAAAAATGCCCCTATTAATAGTGACTTTATATTTATTATAAGGTGTTTAATAAGAGTAAATATAAAAAGATTGGGTTAATTTGAAAGTAGGTAATTACTTTATTGAAATGAAATTCAATTAAAAATACCTTATTTTTTAACGGATGGAGTAATAATTAGTATTACATGTCAAGAGTGTATGATGTACATTAATCATAAATAATGCGGTTTATTCAGGTTCCACTCTAGCTATTTTTAAAGAACAAAGTTATTGTGAAATTTTAAGGAATTTACTTCTATATTTTCCAAAAAAAAAAACGATATGGTGCCATTTTAAGGACATTATCATTCTAAGTAATTAGTACTAACTTTTTTCAAAATAAAGAACTAACATCCTTAAAATTTAATAATAAGTTCCATAATTAGTATTTAATAATTATTTTAATAATATTTGAGAATGATTATAATTTTTAACGTATTTAACTTATTTAAATATCCAAATCCTTGGATATTTCCCCATATATTTAATGGTTCAATCCTTTAGCGGATGCATTTGAAATTTTATTTTATTTTTAAAATACTGTTATTAACCACCATATATATAGCAAATAATAGTAAAATACTTTGTTTAAAAAAATTGACATATATATATATATATATATATTTGGATACATTTACCCATTATTCATGGCCCGAACTTGGTAGGATCACATTGGTGGCAAAACAGTTAAGTTCACATAAAATTAAACTATATATTTATTTAACCCTAAGCACAAATATTTAATTCGCTGCACCAATTTTTCACAACATTATTATTTACACATATATTGCCAGTTGTTTTTTTTTTTTATACATATCTTGAATGCTCGTGCATGAACCTTTGTCCGTTTTCATTGTTGTTGGCCACTTGTTTTTGTCGTGCTATGTTTCATATAAACTAGAAATTTATAATAAGTACTTCCTCTATTTAAAAATGTAAGACATTTTTAATCGAATCTCATCTCCAATAAAGTACTCCCTCCGGTCCACTTTATAAGCCACCTTCTAGAAAGGTGAAGTGATCCACTTTATAAATCATTGGATTGATAGTGATGTTTTGTTTTAAATGAAATGTCTAATTTATCCTTAAAAAAATAAGAGAGAGAAATAAAAAAATAATATTATATAGTTTATTTACTTTTTGAAGTTTATGTTTGTAATTTTACACAATTTTATTTTTTATACTTTTGTTGTATTGGTATTGATGAGGTTGGTAGAAATGACTTATAAATTAGATCAGATAGAGTAATTACTTACTTTCAAACTAATCCTATCTTTTTATATTTACCCCTATTAAACACCTTACAATAAATATAAAGTTATTTATTAATAGGAACACTTTAAAAAAAAAAGGTAATGGTTACACCTCAAAAGATTACATTTTTAAACATCTAACTTTTTAAAAAATGCTTTATATTTTTTAATAGAGAAAATATTTTTTATTACAATATATTAGACCCACCTAGTTTTTTTTTTACCAGAAATATTGGACTCACATACTAATTAAGTTCATGCTAAACCTGCACTTTCATTCCATCTTCTCCTGTGCATTATTGGAACCAGATGCATTATATAATCATGTAAGTGACTATTCAAAGCACTGCACAATTCAATAACGAAAATTTATGTAATTTGAATTCATTTTATAAAGAAGTTAAATTATATATATATATATATATATAGAGCGGCATCATAAAATTTTAAAGCGATATATAAACTCGAAAAGTACTTTGTCCTACGTAATGTTTGTGGGTGTGTATCACATAGTAGTACGCGAACCAGCAGCATTTATGTCGTTCGTTGAAAAAAATTAGGTGATTGGGTTGAATTTTTAGAATGGTTTGCATTTTTTGAGATTCTTATCACGCAATCATTTATTATAGAACAAGTTTATGATATTATCCCTGAAGATTGGGTCATTCTACAAATTGAGTCAATCATGTATAAAATATAGTACTAGTTATAAAATAAATTTTATTCTCATCATTTTAAAATCATGTACAACATAATTTATTTATAAGATTTTGTGCCATGCAAATTAAAATATCCAGCTATAGTTAGATTGAATAGTTACTCAAAGTCCAAATCGTAATAATAATACAATAGAGTTTATATATGGACCCGAATCTTTTAAAATCAATGCTTGAGATAACCACAGAAAATTTATGTCAGTAATAATCATATTAATAAAGGGAGAAAGACACATAGGTCCCTAAAGATAAATTTAATGATAGTCAAGACCCGATAATTTTTTTTTTAAATAGTTGTATATATAATTTGGGTATTGGTTACAAACCAAGTAAGTATATTTAAGTTACATAGCTTATTCTAAGTAGTAATTTATAACTAATATCTCCATATTTACGACAATTTGATCGAAGTAAATAAAAATAAAAAGTGAGAAAATTATGATATGCTATGATCTGAAAGTAGATGCATCGTCACAACTATATGATCGTACTGCAATATCTGTACGTAAAGTCGTCAAAAGCCATGGCCTATAACGTTGGCATGCATAATGTTACAAAACTTGTGTCAGTAATTTATATTAACAAACAAAATTTATATCTTATTGTACAATGATCGAAGATCTAAATTTTGTTTGCTAATATATGGCTGACAAGTTTTGTATTGATCGACTGGGGATAATTGGAGCACAGCACTGCTCAATCTTTTGAAAAAAGTGATCAGTATATTATCATGATTACTACTACTATTTTTCTGAATATGTACGCTCTTTATCAGACCTTCTTGACTTAACTGTCCTCTTTGCAAATATCTGTTCCAGAGATTCATGATCCTACCACTTTGCTCCGGCGAGCTTGGATGGAGTACGATTATGCACATAAGACTTTTAGATTTTGTTTAATATAGTGCAGAAAAGTTATATATATATATGATTAATTAATATATTTGATTTTGCTTTTCTATTGTTTTTGCTTCGCGTGCTACCAAAAGGTGTATTGTTTTTCAGTTGCTGCAGCAACACACCAGGGATGTAATATGTGATTGGCATATTGGTACTATTTATGCAATTAAGAGATTTAATTTGAGGGCTTTACATTATATTTCAATAATTCGAATTTTATATATTTTATCATAAATTATTATTAATTTTGAGATTATAATAAGAATAGAAAAAAATAGTAAAAATGAGTGAATTATTAAACATTGGATAGTGGCTTGACACTGGGGTTAATCCTAATTGTCCCATCAAACATATTATGACTGAATTTGAGATACAGTTTATTTCTGTTGGGTAAAAGGATTTTATCTAACATAAACAGTAACATTTATCTAAATACTGATAAAAAAAAATTCATACCCAATTTCATACAACTTTAAAAATTGCCATGTTTTATTTATAAAAAAAATTACAGAAGGGAAACATTCACAGTCAACAAGTATTTGATTCGTCCAACTTCTTGTCAAATATGAAACTCTTTTAAGAGTCTTTCATTGATATTCTTTATGAATTTTGGAAAAAGAATCTTTAATAAAAAATTTCTCCATTTAATTTTGAAGTCTTCCAATCTAATAAGAAATTCATTCTTTCCATACTATTTTTAAATTATAAAATAACATAGTATAAATTTTTGTTTGCATTTATGAAACCTGTGAATATGAGAGAGATTTGGGAAAAATAGTCAGTAAAAATACTGAACTACAATCTATCTTATTTATATGTTTAATTGTATATACAAGACAAAGGAATAACGAGAAATAATA